ACACACACACACACACACACAAGCAAACATACACATACATACATACACATATAGACAGGGTCGTCCCAATATGTGTTTTTGCAATTTGCATATAGGCAAAAACGCATAATGAATATTAGTTCATTTGCATACTTAGAATGACTGCTCGAGCAGTACTTCCACTTTTTAGTGAACTGGAAATTTGCATTTTTTCAAAAAATTTGCATTTTCATTTTTTCAAAAAGCTAGCGTTTACTGAAACAAATGACCAAGCTTCATGTGAAAAACTGGTAATCACGTACCTGCAGATCCATGCGGCTCTACAACGCGACATCCTCATTTCAACCAATGCCCATTCTGCTGCATGCCGGAAGAAACCAAAACATGGCCAATATGAGCCCAAGTGTTTGGCTGCAACGCAAGGATTATTCCTGCTATTAGCGACCCGCGAGTTTAGTGCAAAAACACATGATCGCATCGGCAAACCTGGTGCGTTCCAGCCTGAGTACTGATACTAATCAATGACAAAAACTCGTATTCCTACCAGACTCTCAATAAGCGCTGCTATTCATTCAGAATTCTTCAGAAATCGTTGGAACACTGCGGATTTACAGTGCACTGATTCCAAAAAAGGCCAGTGGTTTTTAGTGGAAACCAACTACGATCACTGGAAATCCGACAAGGATAAACGTCGGTTTGTGGCTCAACCAAACACTTTTTTGATGTTTTTTGAAATCAGTCATTTAATAAAAATCTAAAGTGCTCGTAGCAGACTCATTTAAAATAACTTTTCATTTTCCAAACATAAACAGTACGATATTCAGGAAAATGGCGGAAAAAGCTCTTCGAAAGATTGGTCAAAAAGCAATGACACATAAAAATATGCTGTGGATACTGTCGCTTCATCCAGTCGAAAATAAGTAAGTCACAGAGAACATTTCTAGAGCAAAAATTTTGCAAATTTTGGTTGTTCGTGTGCTATATGAAGGAACTACCTATTGAAGGAAGGAAAACATGGAAAGATAGCTCTTGAAACATGAATGCAGATACGAAACTATCAAGCAATGAACAATCTTGCTGCTAACGGTCATACTGCTGCAAGAAACCGCACAAAAATAATGATCGCAAGGGCAACATTAGTGTGTA